AAACTATGCAAAAAAATCCTCAAATCCGGCAGGATGGTGTCCGCAAATCTGCTCAATGGGAGGCAGGTCGCAGGTTGAAGGACCCGGGGGCAAAAAATGATGGGATGCGGAGGCGGTTTGACCCGAAATGATGGGAAAAAAATGATGGGATGATGGCAAAATGATGCGAAAATGATGGGAAAAAACAGTTGATTTTTTGTTGTTTCGCAAATTCTTGGATTGGTGAAATTTAAAAAATGAATATGCTTGGCAAGGTCAATCATGAACTCCGAGCAAAAGTTAAAAAGTTCACCAAGTTTCCCAAATGGTTGGATTTGGCACCAACAAAGTTGGAATTTGGAGTACAGTGTTGGAATTATCCCTTCAAAAGAACATGTACCCTCTGGTAAACTAACACATAACTGTCATAACTATCGAAAATCATCATTTAGAATGGGTAAATCAACTATAATCAGCCATTTTCAATAGCTATTTTGACATAACCAGAGGGTACATTCACCCGAATTCTTGGTTTCCGTCGAGGCGTTTTTTCGACTCTGTGGTAGGAGGGTTTTTCCTCAGGATTTCTCTAGCCGCACGAAGTCACCGTGCCGTGGCTTCGTAAGTGGATCATAAGGCCACTCACCACTTAGCCTCTGGTAATTTTTGTTACAGTTTGCTATTGAAAATGGCAATGTTGAAATAGTTATGGACACATCCTATAGTTGACATACCCTAGTGTAGTTGAAAGCCATTAGCCTCTATTGAAAAACAGTTGGCTATTGAAAATGGCAATGTTGAAATCGTTGATTTCCCCATTAAAAAATGGTGGATCTTTCCACAGTCTTCGTTTACCAGAGGGTAACTGGGTGAAGCACCAAGTGGATGGCAGATGTCACTCAACTTGACCAATTTCCTCGTTTTTCTTGGCAGAGTTGATGAACTAAGTCACTAACTCCCTGTTGGTCATAACAGTTTTCAGAGGCCCTGTTGGTTGACTATTTTTTGGGGTTATACAATGTGGGGCCCCCTAGATAGCTAAGTTGGTGAACATAACTCCAATAACTATGGTTTATGGTACTTATAACTATAGTTACTGGGGCTTATAGACCAACTCATAACTAGGGGGCCCCACTTTGTACTACGTATCCAATGTATATATCACTAGCACGAAGTGGGAAATCCGGTCTTATGCAGACAGGATTTTTCGTTGGGGACAACGTGGCGATGTAGTGTGACGGTCACACTTCTCAATGAGAAAAAAGACGATTCTGAAAATTCGTCCAGAATCCAGTTGTTCATATCTAGTCTATATCTAGTTATCTAGTTAAAAATCAGACAAACTAGATTAAAGTTATATATCTAGTGATTTCACTAGTTTGGTAATATTATATGACGTTAATCATATATGATATATATATAATCAAGTATGATATACCAAGCTTTATATATCTAGTGATATCCAGAATTGGTTATATCATATTACCCATGGGGCAAACATACAAAAAGAAGTGGAGAATCCCATGGGGAAACCCATGGTTTTTCCATGATCATATTGTCGTCGGTGATATTGCAGAATTGGTTACTGTATAACCCAGGACCCAATGATCTTATATCACCTTATAATACATTATATTTATTGTATGATCAAAAAGATCACCTTATAATACCTTAAAAATATTGTATATGTATAAGCTACCTATTGATCAAACATATCACCTTATATAACCTTATGACACTTATAGAACTTTGTGGTCAACAAAGTGCCTTTATATAACGCCGCCTCACCGGTTTCCCACTGGTTTTCAGGAGGCCGCCGCCAAGAACTGAGATCGCCGGTTCGGGTCGTCTCATCATTAAACGCATTGGAAATGGGCGGGGTTACCCATCATCGCTACAAGGTGGTGCCCCCCAAGTTATAAGTTGGTTTATAATCCCATTAAGTATAGATATATCACCTATAAACCATAGTTATTGGAGTTATAAACCAACTTAGCTATCTAGGGGGCACCACCTTGTAGGTCAATCTTAGATGGGTACCATCTGGTTATGACTAACAGTTCGCCATGGTATAGATGGCCCTAATCGAAATAGATGGTTTGCCGAACTTAAAAATGGGGATTTTCCATGGTTATGTTAAATAACCAGACGGGTAGAGTTTCTAGTCCTCCATGTTCAAATTTCCAGTATAGATAGTTGAATATCTACTAATTAACAAGCTAAGAATTCATCATTTTTTGAAGGGTATCTAAGATTGGCAATGTTTTTGGTGAAAGCCTATGATATTAAATTATGGAAATATCCTATAGTTGACCCTACTGTAGTTGAAAGCCATTAGCCTCTATTGAAAAACAGTTGGCTATTGAAAATGGCAATGTTGAAATCGTTGATTTACCTATTAAACATGGTGGATCTTTCCATAGCTATGTTGGTTGACCAGAGGGTAAAACATGGTAAAACCTATTGAAATTATGGAGGTACCCTATAGTTGTGAGACAAAAACCATATCTTTTTGCTGTGACCTGGAAAAAATCATGACAATGATGAGACAAAATCGGCGAAGTTCCGGTGTTTTCCCGGTCTTTTCCCCTGACCAAATCAGTCTGATGGTCCCCCAGGTAGAGACCTGTTTCGTTTCACCCGATTCAACTTCTGGGCAAATTATGGCTACCAGTATGTCTTTCAAGCCATGGTTCACCGAAATTGCAGAGAAAACCACTTAAAATAGTTGTTTTTTCATGAATGTTTGTACACCCTTGGAACATAGATAAATATGCTGTAATAAGGTTTTAAGTTTTAATTGTCTTTGATCTACTATACACTGGAAAAACTGATACCGAACTGACTGATTAAGACGCGGTGACATCCCATAGATGATGGTTGGTATACGTTGATACAGAAGGAATCGGCCCAAAACGTCATAGCAACGCCAAAAAAGAGAGGCAAGGGAGCACCCTAATACTACTAGTGATGAGTTCTGATAGTTTACAGTTCTTTTTGGGTGGGATTAGTATATAAGAATCTGAGAGAATCTAAGAAAATTTGCCCAGATGATTAGCCGACCAAGACTGCCCTGACCTCCCTGGTTCGTTTTGGTGATTTCCTTCTGTCCTTTCCAAGCTGAATCCTTTGGGATGTTGAATCCGGTTGGATTGCCCGTTGTGTTTTGGCGCTTGCGCGCCGCTTGCGGCGCTTTAAAAAGGCAGGGCAAATTTCAAGCCGGTCTTGGTAGAAAAATGTGGCTTGGTCTTATGGCCATCTCGAAGACTTTTTTTGGTGAAATTTAAATGGTGGCTGGATTTCCCATGGTTTTCCCATGGTTTTCCTATGGATTTTCCAATTTCCCATGGTTTTCCTATGGATTTTCCAATCACTTTGAGTTCCACTCGATCTTCTCGGTGGCTGATCTCCAGCCCCCCGGCCCCGTCTGAGCCGCGCCGGGGCGGCTGGGCACGACATCGTGTCGTGACTCGCGACGCATCTCACCGGAGGGGCTTCAGAGCGTTGATGGCCAAGTGGAACCATTGCTAAAGTGGAGCTACAAAATGGGGCCCCCTAGATAGCTAAGTTGGTTTATAACTCCAATAACTATGGTTTATGATACCTATAACTATAGTTAATGGGGTTTATAAACCATCTTATAACTGGGAGGCCCCACCTTGTATGGGCTTTCAATGGGTTTATCAATAGCTTTACTAAAAATCAACATTTGCCTGAAATCTCTGAAAAACATGGTGATGACTGGGGGATGGTGCAAATGGCATTCTGGAAAATTCACATAATGCCATTTAAGGAGAACACACATCTTACCCTTTGGTAATTTGTTAGATAGCTATTGAAAATGGCCATAGAAATAGTTGATTTATCCATTTATCCATGGAGCTATTTTGAAGTGGAGCCATGGGCTTTCAATGGGTTTATCAAAGGCTTTACTGTATCAATGGCCAAAAATAAAGGCCAAAAATGACTCGAAATTTTAGAATTCTAAATGGGTTGGTTTAGCAATGGCTAAAAATTGCCCGAAAAGAAAGATCATTCTGGGTTTATGGCCAATGATATATGACCAACTAGTTGTAGGAGTTATGTTTTTCCACCAACTGTTGGCCGCAACTTTAGGCGTTCATTTTGGATGAGCCAATGTTGTGACCTGAAGAGTCAAGATCATGCAAAAAGCAACGGGACCCGCGCTCGGGAAAAGTTTTCATGTCTGTCAGGAATACTTTCCCTCTGGTAGTTTAACATAGCCATGGAAAATCACAATTTTCAATAGGTAAATCACCTACAAATAGGCAATTCGCCATAGCCATGTTAAATAACCAGAGGCTCTGTTAAGTACAATTGATTAATGGGCAGTTTCATAGGATTTATAAACCAACAAACATCAGGTTTGGGAGCCTTGTATCGTTCCAGGAGGAATGACTGAAGCCATCGTTTTCCGTCACTGGACAATTATATGTGAGGAATCATCCCCGGCCTAACTTGTTGACTATTTTCAGGTGAGTGAATTGCTATGAATTACTATCCTTCGGTCAGAAATAAATATATATATATTATTAATTATGATTATTAATTAATATGCATTGTCATATGGTTTACAAAATCTGCTTGGTGGTTTGGAACATGGCTTTGGAACATGAATTTATCCTTCCCATTGACTTCCATATTTTTCAGAGGGGTATACCACCAACCAGTTTTTATTCCCAACGCAAAGCTTCAACCAGCAACGATGGAAGCTTCGCGCGCTTTGCGCGCTTTGCGCTCCCCATCCTGGCGCTCTGAAACTCACTCCATACCGAGCCGCCGTGCACGGACCGGAGCTCCAGTGAAAAAAAAATATGGGTCTTGGGTCGAGCTTTCTACTCTGGGAAATTGAAAAAAAAGTGGGAAAAAACATGGAAACATGTTTAAACACCCATTTGAAAAAAAACATGAAAGAAATCTACTTCTAACAATCTGTCGGATTGTTGGTGGCCAAAGGTGAACGCGACCGCGCAAGCGCGCCTTGCGCCTTGCAACGCCAGGTGTAAAGTGGAGGAAGTCCGAGAGATTACACTGGACAAGATCCTTGAGGCTCCCGGGTACCCGCAAATCATTTGGATCATCCATTCCAAAAACAGGGAGTTTCCAGTATAAACCAACCATTTTGGGATACCCCCATTCTAGGAACACCCCATATGATTATTATGATATGTTTAATTATATTTATATCTATAGATACAATATATCAGTGGTTTATGGTAGATTGTAGATTTCTAGAGATTATATAAAATTATGTATCTGTTATAATATAACTGTTGGCTTTATGATAATTATCCCACACAGAAGACTCGGGTTGACCATGGGGCCCACCTTGCTTGGTTTTTCCGATGTCCAGAAATGGGACGAACGGCTCGCTTGAATCCTCCGTTTTTATCCTTGTTTTATCATCGTATTGTGGTTAATAATGGTGAACTATAACGATAATAGCGGGTATTAATGGTGAATGGTTATTAATGGTTAGTAATAGTTCATAATAATGGTTATTGATAGTGATTGTTAATCTGGGTAAATTATGGTGACCTCACTGTTCTCCCTCACTCATGGTAAGGGGAATTTTCCGAAGAAGGCCTATTATAATTTGCCCAGATATGTGGGATTCCCAAGCGAAATGATGGTTACAAAAAGGTATGATATGATTTCAAGGGGACCTACCCTCTGGTTATTTAACAGTTCGCCTTGGTTTTTCGACGGCCCATAGAAATAGGTGGTTTACCGTTCTTAAACATGGTGAATCTTTCCAGTTCGCTATGTTAGTCATAACCAGAGGGTAAACCTCCATTTTCCTATGGTTTTCCTACGGTTTTCCTATGGTTTTCCTATGGTTCTCCCATTGAAACCTGGGATTTTGCTGGGATGACCGGACCTTAAAAAGTACGACCGTAGAATCAGCCGCGTTTGTTGGAGATGTTATGGTGAATTCCCGGACCAATAGGTGAATTCGGGTTGGGGGTGATGAGGCCCACGAACTGGTGCGTTTTACGTAGGGTTTCTGGATGGGTTGCTGGGAGTTGCTGGGATGATGACATTACGAAAGTGATTTAGTGGGAATCATTCCCGAAAATTCCCTGCGTTTTAGACGCACCAGTAAGCAACTGGAACTGGTGAATAATTTCTTCATATTTCCCATGAACAATGGCTATAAAATCTGAATCTAGGTTAAGCAACTGGATGGGTACAAACTAATCCTAACTAGTCGTTTGGTATCAGAGGGATGATCTACGTTCACTAACCAGCTAAGAATTTATTGTTTTTGTAGGGTATCTATGGCAATGATACTATATATGTATATATATATATTCTGGTTGGTGGTTTGGAACATGAATTTTATTTTTCCATAATATATGCGATAATCCTTCCCAACTGACGAACTCCATCATTTTTCAGAGGGGTAGGTCAACCACCAACCAGATAAAGTCTAATATATGGGTAAATCCACGAACTAAATGACCATTTTCAATAGCAAACTGTTAGTCATTACCAGAGGGTAAGATTGGCAATGATATATATACAATGTGAGGCCCCCCAGTTATAAGTTGGTTTAGATTCGCCCCAGTAACTATAGTTACAAGTACCATAAACCAGTTCGTGACATTGGAGTTATGTTCACCAACCTAGATATCTTGGGGGCCTCACATTGTATATATACACATATATAGATATTGGGACATGCCATTTTCCATGCCCCTTTTTGGGCGACTCTATTTGAAGCCTGTTTTCGTGGGTGAACTCATGTGAAATCGCCATGCATCAATGGTGAAGCTCCTCATTTTGGATGGTGAAGGTGAGCTCCTGATGTTGGATGAATTATTTTCCAGGAATTTTGTTTCGTATTTTAACATATTAGTTAAGATATAATTTATATAACCATCAAACATCAGAGTCATGATTTCTCTATGGATTTCTCTGAATGTTCATGAAAATCCTTAAGCAAGTTGATGGTTAAGTCATGGTTTTTCATCCTGATGTTTGGTGGATCCTGTCCTCTTCAGCCAGGTCAGTGGCTTTGGGGAGGATTCTGCCATGAAGACCAAGGCGATGGCAAGAGGATAGACCTGGATGTTTGGGAATTCCAGGAGAACATTCTGAAGTCACACATCAATACACATCAAGTGACTTCCTTTTTATAAGCCATGTATAAGCCATTTATAAGCCATCAATTTTGGGGAATCCCCATCTTAAAGCACAAGTATTCCCAATCCAAACAGAGAAATGGGTATGGATCAATACCTATTAATACCATTTTTAGTGGGTTATTCACATCCATAAATCCCAGCTATTTTGATGTGAACAAAAAAGGGGTACTATTGGTTTTGACACACTGCCATCTGGCAAAAAATGATGTTCAGATTGATGTTCAGATTGACGTTTGTTTAAGTGGACAATTGAAGACTATGGATCCTTGAAAGGCGAGTCCACCAGCACCTGAAGCGGTTTAGCCAGCACTGCAGAATTTAGCAGTTTGCTATGGAGAGTTATACCTTTTGAAAAGGGAAATCAGGATCAAATGATAAATCATCGAACTAATTCCATACAATGTGGGGCCCCCTAGATAGCTATATAAGTTGGTTTATAACTCCAATGTCACTATGGTCTATGATACTTCTAACTATCGTGAATGGGGTTTATAAACCATCTTTAAAAAAATGGGGGGCCCCACATTGTAGCTTTGTTAAATTACCAGAGACCAGAGAGTATCACAGAATGAAATGTTCCAGGAATTGTGTCCTCAACCCCAGCCATCAAAAAGTGTAAGTTGGGGCGTCGGATTGCTAGGTTGATTGCCTTATTATCAATTTTAACTTATTCATTATCACATATCAATACATATCATATGATTATCATTATCAACCATTATAAATAATGATGAAACCATCATTTCAGAAAGTCAATCACTAATCTAAATCCACATCATATCTTTAATCTGTCACCATTGTTCATTCAGCCCTTTTACAAACACCACGGCTGAAATCGCCCAACAACGACGCCGCCGTGACGCGCCTTCCTTCGTAGAGGTCACGGAGTCGGAGCTGGAACTGCTGCAGAACATCGGTTTCATCCTGTTGGTGGAGCCCAAACCCGCCGCGGCGCTGCGGCTTCTGGCGGAGGAGCCCTGCGGGAGCCGTGCGCCGTGAGATGTGACGGGGTGCCGCACGAACTAGGCTGGATGTATACATAATTGCAGATAGATAGATAGATGGAGAGATGGAGAGAGAGAGAGAGAGATAGAGAGATAGAGATAGATAGATGGATGGATGGATAGATAGATAGGTAGATAGATAGATGGATCGATAGATAGATATATCCACTTAGCTCACTGGAATTGCACTTCCAAGTATAGTGATAAGGATACGGTTTTTGGATGGACTTATCTCATTCTAAGAACAATATATCTACATAATTAATGCGCATATGGGTACATACATTTAGTACATCATATACATATAAATAAATGTATATTATATATTATATATACATATATATATATACATATATATATATATGTATATTATATATATATTATATCCATATACACACATATCCATTATATGGGCTGATCCTGTCTCTGCACCAAGCATTTTTTCTTTCTCGTCGTGGCAACGAGTCCCAACAGGCGCAGATGATAACAGGAAAACCCCAGGATCTTCATGGGAAAATCGATGGTTTCCGGTGAAGATTTTCCCAAGAAAACCAATCCATTGAATGGGGACAGCCTCTCAAAATGATCTACAGATGGTTGGGTTTCCACCTATGTTAGTTGGTGAAATCAGGATGTTTTTTGGCTTATTTCTGCAGGTCTTAGATTGGCTATCTATTGTGTCATTCTTGGATGTTTAGTATGTTTAGTCAAGGACCTTCAGGAATGTTTCGTGATGTGTATTGCTTTGTTATGTCCACATGGCTTAATTTACCAGAAATGCCAGATGGATGAGACAATTTTGGGTTTCTGGTGCCTTTGAAGCAAATGATCTTCAACAAATCCATGATAGAGTTCCCAGTTGTTCAGGATTAAATTATCTTAAAGTCATTATTTGTCATCTTAAAGTTAATTCACATTACCCTCTGGTAATTTAACGTAGCTATTGAAAATGGCCAGTTATAGTGGATTTTCCCATTAAAAATGGTGATTTTCCATAGTTATGTTAAATTACCAGAGGGTATCTTAAAGGTTTTTAATGTTTGAATCCATTACCATGTTGAAATCATAAGTTTTCTCAGGAGCAGCGCAACTTTAAAGTGCCGGCCAGCGGCTCAGTTTCAGCCCAGTTCGGCTGTTTCATGGCGGCTTCGAATAGTTCATTTCCCATGAATTTCCCGTTAGAAAACTTCATGAAAGAGAAACATGTTTCATCAAAGGTTCTAATGTTGTTCTCATAGCCGTTTATATATTTTATATATTTTTATATGATGTAGCTACAAAAAATGAAGAGACAAATGGGAAATTTCTCTGTAGGTGAATTTCCATTGAAGTTCTCGATTGCCGATGGAACAACGAATAACGGGTGTGTTTGAAAATGGGGTCAACAAAAAGCCCAAAACAGTGCGTTGACCAAAAATAAGTGGTGTTTAATGTTTAACCATCCTGAATTGGGGATAGCCAGTAATATATATATAGGTATATAATGGGGATAGTAGGACGAATATAACCAACATCATGATATGTGGGTCTGAAATTTGTGGTATAAGATGACAAAACCTAAAATTGCAATTTATACTCGGGAAACTGATACTCAACCATGGACTTGCGGGTTTCCGTATTCTTCCAGACACGCTACCATTATTGCATAATAACCATTATCAACCAATGTGTAATAACCATTATGAAAAGATTATCCGAACAACTAATGATGTCTTAAATGTTCAATGGTTCAGTGACAAAAAACTAACTAGATTATCCCCATATAGCGGATAATTATATAATCCCCACTACAACCATATATTCAATTCTTTTTAACCATGGCCTTTAGTATTATAACCATTGGGGTTAAATACCATATATATATATAAGAATATATATATATCTGGGTAAATTATAACGACCTCATTGTTCTCCCTCACTGGAATCATGGTTTTTATATGGGAAATCATCCCGAAATGGGCCTTAATTCAGGTTAGTGAATTATTATAATTTACCCAGATTTATATAGTGTTTTAATGGGATATATGATGGTGATTCAATGGCATTTAATGGGATATAATGGGATTTAATGGGATATATGTTCATTTAGATCTCCCACTTATATGACTAGTGATATTTTTATTGATTATATCCCTTGAAAACCACCATTCCCTATGGATCCATGGCCACTGCCCGAGAAGCTACCCCAGTCCTTACCCAAATCATACCCCAGTCCCACTTCCTAAGAAGGTCATCGGATCCATATAGGGATTAATGTTAACATATATTCATATTAAGATATATTACCCTCTGGTAAATAAACAGTTCGACCCTGAAAATCACCCATTTTTAATGGACACATTCATCTTCCAACCCCTATCTGGTCTGGCAGGGTCGTCATGTTAATTTACTGGAGGGTAATATTAACATATATCCAACCACTATTACCCTCTGGTTATGACTAACATAGCCATGGTATAGATGGCCCATTTATATTCCATTTATTGTTTACCTATTAAAAATGGTGGATCTTTCCATGGCTATGTAACAAATAATCAGAGGGTAACATATATTCACCACGAATATCCAGTAACAGCCTGCCCCGTCGCGAGGTCGCTGGCTTTCCGGGGAGCTCCGAACACTTCGAGGAGTTGCTGAGCAAGGCCGAGACCCTTGCCGGGGAGCCTGGGGAAAAGGTTGGAAAATGGCGGGAAAGTGACGAAACATGTGGGAAAACGGTAGGAGATGCCGAAAAAAATGCAGGAACATGCGGGACAATTGGAGACATGTGGGAAAATGGATGGAGAAATAATAGGAACATGTCGGAAAAGGCTGGGAAAATGACGAAAAGCGTGGCAATAACCGTGGTCCCATGGTCCTCCGATCCAATAGGGAAGGTGTTTAGATGTAGGGGATCAGCACAGCCTTGATCTATGGAAAATGACCAGTTTTTTAATGGGTAAATGTAAATCATCTATAACCGGACCATATTTCACAGTGATGTTATTTGTTTTGATGGTATACCATCATAAACATTCATAAACCCCATTGAAATCTCCGTCTTAATGGTGATTTTCAATATCCCATTATTTGATGGTTTTTCTGATGTTGTGGTCTCTTGCCAATTTTGAGTGAAAAAAAATCTGTCGCGATCGCGATGTTCACAAATCCGCATCCCAACTGTTGATGGGTCAGCATGTTTGATGATTAGTCACTTAGTCCCAATATTTATAGAATCCCAATTTTTGATGCTTAACATATGATTAAATCACGTGAAATCCCAAAAAACGTTGATGTTTTTCTCCACTATTCCTCCCAAAAAACGTCTGGGAGATCCGCAGCGTTGAAAAGGTCTACGACTTCTGCGCCTCCAACAATTCCCTGCTACTCCTGCCCGCATCCATCATCTTCGCAGCTGCTTGGGGTGCTGCTCTCGATGAAGGCCATGCTGCTCCCAGGGATCTGCGTTTTTTGTCCAGGCCATGCTAAGCTCAGGGGATCCTAAGGTTGAGGGATTTCAGGCGATCTAGGGCGAGTGGGGATATCAGGCTATATGGTGTTATATGGTACTCGTACTGACGTAGTTTTTACCGGTAGCACGTGGTCATGGCTCAAGGATGTTGCAGGTGCAATATGTGTCTCCAACAGAATGTGAAGAAGTTGCATATTTGAAGCAGTTTACAATGTGCCGAGATTGTTATTAATGTCGATCTAGATAAACAGAATCGAAGATGTTTGATCAGTTTAATATCAATCTAGATATGTATATAACTGAATTGTAACAGATATATATATATATATCCCATAGGATCCATGTATGCTATATATGGTAACATGGATCCCATCAATATACCCCCTAAAAATGTTAGCATATATACCAGCACCATGGATCCCATGGGTATATAGGTAAATTTATATAGTTCTCAGTGTTTCTCCATGTGCATGTTCCAGGTTCGGGACATGCAGCAGGCACCCACAGCCCGGCGCCTAGTGGATCCTATGGATCCTAGGCCCAGTGGATCAAATCCAAGACCCAAAGACTTCCTGCTTGGTGGTGACTGGAATATTTTTGTTAATAATGGTTCATGATGGTTAATAATATAGAAGAGTTACTGTAATTATATGTAATTATGGGATTACCATCTATATCATGTGGGATTACCATCTAAATGATGGGATTATGATTGTTGCTGTTTCATAGACTATTAATGTGGGTAAAACAATGTCATAAACCGCCCATGACTGGGAATGGTCAACATAATTACCACCCAAATATTTATTTGGTTGGTGGTTTGGAACATGTTTTATTTTTCCATTTTTTCCATATATTGGGAATAATAGTAACTCCAACTGACGAACTCATATTTTTCAGAGGGGTAGGGCGAAACCACCAACCAGATTTGGATCCATAGGAAATTGAAGTTGAAAAAAGCCATGGAACCAACTCTTCCCTGTGTTTTTTGCGACTTGAAAGTGATGAAGAGAATATAGCCATGAAATATATATTAAGATATACCCTCTGGTTATGACTAACATAGCCATGGTATAGATGGTCCATAGAAATAGATGGTTTACCGAACTTAATAGCTTGGTGGATCTTTCCATTTCGCAAACTGTTAGTCATAATCAGAGGGTAAACCTCCATTTTCCTATGGTTTTCCTATGGTTTCCCTATGGTTTTCCTATGGTTTTCCCATGGAAACCTGGGATTTTGCTGGGACGGATGACCCACAAACCCAGGGACCCAGGGAATCGCCTGAGGCACGGCTCCGTCCTCTGCGGTCTTGTCCATGTTGTCGCAGAACTTCAAGGAACGACCCGGCCAACTATGTAATACTGGGCTACATGGCTACATGCAGAATAAAACTATAGTTTAGTTCATAGTGTTTCTTACCCTTGAGATACTCTATATATATAAATATATATATATAAATATATATATATATATAATTTATAATTTATATATATATATTATATATAATTCATATATATATACGACATATATATATATATATACGACATATATATATAATTATTGTCCAACATTTATTTGGAGGGAAAAGAACGGAACGCCTCCATTGAATTTCTGGCTTCTGGCCGGCAGGGTGCGGACAAAGATGCCGTGGCCCGGATGATGAAGGAGACTTTCGCCATCTTTTTGGGATGTATTTTTGCAGGTTTCTGACGTTTGAAAATGGGGTACCTAATTTTCTAGTCTAGAATCTCATTAGATGTCTATTATTAGGTCCAAAAAGCCTCAAAAAGCCTCAAAAAGCCTCCATCAAAAACCCTAATGGGGTACCCTAATGATGGTCTAGACCATTTTAAACAACTATTTGATGGATATAAAATGGTACCTCATTTCGACTATTATTTGGAGGGTTTTTGGACACCGACTAGTTCATAGGGACATGTCTTTGATTTTTGGGAGTCTCTGAAGCAAAGTTGGACAAAACGCGTGAGGAACTGGAGAGTTTACTCCTGAATATTCTTGGGCCATGTTGATGGTAGTATTTACTAACCAGCTCAAAAAGTTCGAAGCAGCGTATCCAAGAATGATTGATTGACCAGCTCGTTAGTGGCTTGATTTCCGTTGCCATGGTAAAATGGACTCACCAGATGAAAACATATGAAAACTAGATTTATTGCTGGGTATGTAAGGTTACGTAGGTATGGTGATTTTATTTGACTTTCTGACTAGATTCTGACTTTCATATTTTTTTCGGGAGAGCGGCTCAGTCAGCAGTTTTGAAAGAGTTTGAGATGAGAAAGTCAAAAGATGAAAAACCCCTGGTGCCCTCTGGTAATCAAACCTGAGTGGCTAGAAAATCCCTCACAAACCGAGGAGTTTCCCATGAAACCACCATCTAGTTTGATCATTTTCCAGCCATTTAGTTTGATGACACCGTCGCCACGCTAGGAAGCACTTCACGCCATGAAGCAAGTCAACTGCAAGGCTGACTTGGACAAGTTGACGATGCAGGACACAGTTCGCCGGTCAGGCCAAATGAGGCGGATCAGGCCGATGTTTTGTTGCTACTGGATGTTACCCTCCTAGTGCATCTAGAGTTTACATGTGGAGTTTACAGGAGGCAAAACCCAGCATGGGGTTTTCCACATCGTAAACATCCAGTGATTTGGAGAGATCAAAGATGGCAATGGAAAAGCCCTCTATTTATCGATTCATGAATTTCCCATTATAGTGCCAACTATAAAGCCTTTATAGAGGATTTCCCATTACCACTTTGCCAGCTAAAAAATGCTGTCCCATTTTTTCGACAAGGAGATAGCAAAAGGTGCACGCAAGTGTCTGCAATCTCAGACTCAGCAATTCCACTGGGGGGCTAGTTGGGGTTGTTGATGGGTGTAAGCACTCCGAATAGTAGCTGGTGAAGAATGTTGCTTCCTCACTCCCCTCAGTTTATCACTTTGCTATGGTGATTTTTGAAGCAGAGCTTGAATCTACAATGTGGGCCGCAGCTTTGAAGTGATTTATCAGCCCCATTAACTATAGTTATAAGTATAAGTATCATAAACCATGGTGAAATTGGAGTTATGTTCAGCATAGTTATCATAAACAGGGGCCCCAAGTGTAGCGGAGCTCGTCTCTTAGGTCAACGAGCCTTTGGAATGATCCACGAAGAGAGACGGCAGCGGAGCGAGGCAGCGATGGGCTCGTATTTTCTAATGGTAGTCCAACTGGCTCAAAATTGGGGAGCCAGTTGGAGCGACTATATGATAGTACAGTATAGTATAGTATAGTATAGTATAGTATCGTATCGTATCGTATAGTATAGTATATATATATATATGATATGATATTATATTGTATTATAGTATAATATAGAAGAGTTACTGTAATTATATGTATTTAGGGGATTACCATCTATATCATGTGGGATTACCATCTAAATGATGGGATTATGATTGTTGCTGTTTCATAGACTATTAATGTGGGTAAAACCATGTCATAAACCACCCATGACTGGGAATGGTAAACATAATTACCACCCAAATATTTATTTGGTTGGTGGTTTGGAACATGTTTTATTTTTCCATTTTTTCCATATATTGGGAATAATAGTAACTCCAACTGACGAACTCCATGATTTTTCAGAGGGGTAGGGCGAAACCACCAACCAGATTTGGATCCATAGGAAATTGAAGTTGAAAAAAGCCATGGAACCAACTCTTCCCTGTGTTTTTTGCGACTTGAAAGTGATGAAGAAAATATAGCCATGAAATATATATTAAGATATACCCTCTGGTTATGACTAACATAGCCATGGTATAGATGGTCCATAGAAATAGATGGTTTACCTTATCAAATTTCAAAAGCAATGAAACCATGCCTCTCTATTGTGCTTGCTACGTGTGGTACGGGTGAGGGTACGGGTACGCCTTGGTACGGGTACGGCTGTTGGGTACGGGTGTTGGGTACGGGTGCGGGTGTTGGGTACGGGTGTTGGGTACGGGTACGAGTGCTGGGTACGGGTGTTGGGTACGGGTATGGGTGTTAGGTACGGGTACGGGTGTTGGGTACAGGTGTTGGGTACGGGTACAGGTACGGGTATGAGTGGTGGGTACGGGTGTTGGGTACGGGTACGGGTACGAGTGTTGGGTACGGGTACGGGTGTTGGGTACGGGTGTTAGGTACGGGTACGGGTGTTGGGTACAGGTGTTCCATGGGTACGGGTACAGGTACGGGTGAAGGTACGGGTATGAGTGGTGGGTACGGGTGTTGGGTACAGGTACGGGTACGAGTGTTGGGTACGGGTGTTAGCGGGTACGGGTACCGGTGTCGGGTACGGGTGTTAGGTATGGGTACGGGTGTTGGGTACCGGTACGGGTGGTGTGTACGGGTGTTGGGTACTATAGGGGTGGTGGGTATACTAAAAATTCGTGTCCAAGGTCCATGTTCTTGTCCAGCTCCTTGTCCATATGTGTGATGCTGCCGTACCTTACCAGCCACCCCTCAATCTCTGCCACCTGCCGCGCATCATTCGGCACTAAGTCACTAAGACCCCTAATGGAAGATATTTTCACTTCAGGCACTTAATGAAAATATTGGTACTTATTTGAGCTTATCATAGAACTTATTTTTACTTATTTTTTGATACTTTCAAAGGCTCAGAACTGATAATACGAAGGATTTGTTTTTTACATATTGAAGAAAAAACGATTGACTATAAGAAAAAAAAGTAAAAAGATTTGGGGAGGTTTTCAAGTTTTTTTAGCATATATGATCCTTTTCAGGATATTTTCCCATTCAGGAACCATCCTTTTCAGGAACTATATCCTTTGCCTTGGGAGCCATGGCAAAGAAAGAAGCAGGGGTTCAGCAGAGACTAGCTGCTAAAGTATGGCTACGAGTCACATTATAGATTCTCTCATAGCTGCTTGTAATGATTGCGAAGTAAAATCTGTTGGAATAATGAAAAAAATAACCAAAAACATTTTTGAAACCCAAGATGTTGAAACAATAATTCCTGAAAAGGATGTATAGTTCCTGAAATGGAAAGTTTCTGCAATGAATCTTTCAGGTTGAATGTGGTTTCCTCAGAGGAATATGTTTTCCTTTTTTAAAATTCTAAATTTACTGAATTCTAAATTATCTAAATTTTGTAATTATTTGGATTTGTAAGTTATCTAAAGTTTCTGGATTCTATTGTTTTTTTTTTGTATTTTCTGATTTTTCTGAATTCTGATTTTTCATTTTTTTCTAGATTCTATTTTTTTAGCGGTTTTCAAAAATTTTCTGGATTCTATTTTCTTTTGGATTTTCAACAGTTTCTGAAGTCTATCTTTTTCTGCGTTTTCTGGATTCTGAATTTTTTGGAGTCTATTTTTTAAATTTATTTTTTACTTTATATATAAATTATCTGGATTCTAACTTTTGTGGATTTTCTAAATTTTCTGGATCTTTTTTTTTGAATTTTACGAATTTTCTGGATCCTTTTTTTTTTGGATTTTCTAAATTTTCTGGATTCTGAATTTTCTAATTGTTCTAGATTATATTGTTTTTCTGGTTTTTAAACGTTCTGGATTCTAATTTTTTTGGTTTTCAAAATTTTCTGGATTCTACTTTTTCAGGTTTTTCTGAATTTTCTGGATTTTTTTTTGGATTTTCTACTGTAAATTTTCTGGATTCTATGTTTTTTTTGTTTTTAAATTTTATGTTTTTTTTTCTGAATTCTGAATTTTCTGAATTTTATGAATTGTATTTATATATATATATACATAACTCTGAATTTTCTGCATTTTCTGAACTTTCTGACTTTTCTGAATTTTATGATTTCTCAATTTTCTGAATTTTTTGAATGTTTAAATTTTTAAAAAAATATGGATGTTATTTTTTTGCATTTTCTGGAGTTTTTTTTAGCTTTTCTGAATTTTCTGGATTCTTTTTCTTTTGCTTTTATAATTTTTCTGGATTTTATTTTTATTAGATTTTCTGAATTTTCTGGATTCTGAATTTTTCAATTTTTTCTAGCTTCTATTTTTTGTGGTTTTCTAATTTTCTGGATTCTATTTTTTTTTAATTTTCGGAATTTTCTGGGTTCTGAATTATCTAATTTTTCCAGATTCTATTTTGCTGTGGTTTTCTAAATTTTCTGAATTTTGAATTTTCTGAAGTGTCTGCATTTCTTTTAGATTTTCTGAATTTTCTGGATTCTATTTTTTTTTGCTTTTCTAAAGTTTCTGGATTCTATTTTTTTTGATTTTCTGAATCTTCTGGATTTGAATTTTCTAAATTTTCTGGATTCTATTTTTTTGGAATTTATGTTTTTTTGGATTCAGTTTTTTTTTGATTTTCTGGTTTTTCTGAATTTTGACTTTTCTTAATTTTCTCAAGTTTGAGTTGCCCTTCTCAAGAACCCGAATTTTCAGAAACTCTCCTTTATTCAAGATAAATTGGCTTAAAGTGGGCTCTGTTTTGGGACCACTACGCGGCATTTACATTCAGGTATTTCCATCTCCTTTGCTGGGACTTTCCTTTATAGGAAGCATCCTTTACAGGAACTTTCCTTTACTGTAACTTTCTTTTACAGAAAACATGCTTTACAGGAACTTTCCTTTACTGTAGTGTTTTTTACAGGAAGCATCCTTTACAGGAACTATCCTTTACAGGAACTCTCTTTTACAGGAAACATCCTTTACAGGAACTTTCCTTTACTGTAGTTTTTTTACAGGAAACATCCTTTACAGGAACTATCCTTTACAGGAACTTTCAGTTTCAGGAATTCTCCTTTATTGGCAATTTCCTTTTACAGGAACCATATTTTTGAGGTATCTATTTTTCCAACTATTCCTGGGCAGCAATCATTTTCACCTTAGATCATTTGGTGAGAGTAAGTTTGGAGCACCTTGTGCTTGCAAGAAACGTATGTCCAGATATTTTCAAATATTTTCACATATTTTCAGATATTTTTGACTAATATTCGACTATATGTGATTATATCTTCATTATTATGTCCTAAATTCAAAAAAATAAGTGGAACTTAACGCAAAATAATTTTAAAACAACAAAGCAGGATAATAGCAAATTATCAGATATTTATAAGCTCGTTAAGTGCCTGAAGTGAGAATATCTTCCATTAGGGATCTTAGAGCAGCAAACCCTAAATACCAACGGTCTATATAGCATATGGTCAGCAACTGCCACATTATGTCAGCAACTGCACCCTACCAACCAATGCACCGAGTGTACCATGCACTGTACCAACCGTACAAAACCGTAACAATCTAACCATGTGTACCGTACCAACCGTACCATGTGTACCGTACCGGACCGTACCATGTTTTAAGATAGGAGAAATGGTACCGTACCAAAATAGCAGCAGAAATAGCGGCAGATTCTGCCGCTATTTCTGCTGCTATTTTGGTACGTACCAACTGTACCATGTGTACCGTACCGTACCGTACCATGTTTTAAGATAGGAGAAATGGTACCGTACCAAAATAGCAGCAGAAATAGCGGCAGAATGGTACGGTACACATGGTACGGTTGGTACGGTTGGTACGGCACATTGGTACAGCCAGTCCAGTCGGTACAGTTCATTGGCACAATAAGTTTGAGAACCATACATGGGCGCGATGTGTGACACGTATTGTACCATGTGCCATATGCCGCTATAATATATCTGTACTGTACCGTACCGTACCATACATATGTACCATGACCTCATCCTGCGTGCCGTACCACGTACCGTACCATGTACCACGATAGTGCCACAATACTGCACCGTACTCTCACCCTGCGCGCCGTACCGCACCATATATACTAAGACCCCTAATGGAAGATATTTTCACTTCAGGCACTTAATGAAAATATTAGTACTTATTTGAGCTTATCATAGAACTTAGTTTTATTTCTTTTCACTTATTTTAACTTATTTTTTTGATACTTTCAAAGGCTCAGAACTGATAATACGAAGGATTTGTTTTTTACATATTGAAGAAAAAACGATTGACTATAAGAAAAAAAAGTAAAAAGATTTGGGGAGGTTTTCAAGTTTTTTTAGCATATATGATCCTTTTCAGGATATTTTCCCATTCAGGAACCATCCTTTTCAGGAACTATATCCTTTGCCTTGGGAGCCATGGCAAAGAAAGAAGCAGGGGTTCAGCAGAGACTGGCTGCTAAAGTATGGCTACGAGTCACATTATAGATTCTCTCATAGCTGCTTGTAATGATTGCGAAGTAAAATCTGTTGGAATAATGAAAAAAATAACCAAAAACATTTTTGAAACTCAAGATGTTGAAACAATAATTCCTGAAAAGGATGTATAGTTCCTGAAATGGAAAGTTTCTGCAATGAATCTTTCACGTGAATGTGGTTTCCTCAGAGGAATATGTTTTCCTTTTTTAAAATTCTAAATTTACTGAATTCTAAATTATCTAAATTTTGTAATTATTTGGATTTGTAAGTTATCTAAAGTTTCTGGATTCTATTGTTTTTTTTTTCGTATTTTCTGATTTTTCTGAATTCTGATTTTTCATTTTTTCTAGATTCTATTTTTTTAGCGGTTTTCAAAAATTTTCTGGATTCTATTTTCTTTTGGATTTTCAACAGTTTCTGAAGTCTATTTTTTTTCTGCGTTTTCTGGATTCTGAATTTTTTGGAGTCTATTTTTTAAATTTATTTTTTACTTTATATATAAATTTTCTGGATTCTAACTTTTGTGGATTTTCTAAATTTTCTGGATCTTTTTTTTTTGAATTTTACGAATTTTCTGGATCCTTTTTTTTTGGATTTTCTAAATTTTCTGGATTCTGAATTTTCTAATTGTTCTAGATTATATTGTTTTTCTGGTTTTTAAACGTTCTGGATTCTAATTTTTTTGGTTTTCAAAATTTTCTGGATTCTACTTTTTCAGGTTTTTCTGAATTTTCTGGATTTTTTTTTTGGATTTCTAAATTTTCTGGATTCTATGTTTTTTTTTAAAAAAAAAACTTTTTTTTTTCTGAATTCTGAATTTTCTGAATGTTATGAATTGTATATATGTGAATATATATATATATTCATAATTCTGTATTTTCTGAATTTTCTGAATTCTCAATTTTCTGGATTTTTTGAATTTTTTAATTTTCAAAAAAATGTGGATTCTATTTTTGTCCTTTTATAATTTTTCTGGATTTTTTTTCCTGAATTTTCTGGATTTTGAATTTTGTTTTTTTTTTCTAGATTCTGTTTTTTCTGTGGTTTTCTAAAATTTCTGGATTCTATTTTCTTAAATTTTTGGGATTTTTCTGGATTCTGAAATTTCTAATTTTTTCAGATTCTATTTTGCTTTGGTTTTCTAAATTTTCTGAATTTTGAATTTTCTGAAGTGTCTGCATTTCTTTTAGATTTTCTGAATTTTCTGGATTCTGTTTTTTTTGCTTTTCTAAAGTTTCTGGATTCTATTTTTTTGATTTTCTGAATCTTCTGGATTTTGAAATTTCTAAATTTTCTGGATTCTATTTTTTTGGAATTTATGTTTTTTTGGATTCAGTTTTTTTTGATTTTCTGGTTTTTCTGAATTTTGACTTTTCTTAATTTTCTCAAGTTTGAGTTGCCCTTCTCAAGAACCCGAATTTTCAGAAACTCTCCTTTATTCAAGATAAATTGGCTTAAAGTGGGCTCTGTTTTGGGACCACTACGCGGCATTTACATTCAGGTATTTCCATCTCCTTTGCTGGGACTTTCCTTTATTCAAAAGTCTGGATGAAGGGTTTTTTTACCTTCTCAATGGTATGTGCCTGTCTCAACCCTCCTCCCTGTATCAAAGGTGCTTTCTTTTTCCCCTCCTCAAAGGTCCTGGTTTCCCAACCGTATTCCCGGAAAATTTTCCCATGTTCGAAGGATTTCTCAAGGCCAAGTGTTTTCCCACAGTGAAGGTTCGCGCTCAAGGCTGCCAAAAAAATAAAAAATAAAATAAAATCCCGGAGACAAACCCATACCCCGGGGAAGAACACTTGCGACCGAACATTGCAAATATGCATAAAACATGCTATGTGTTTTTCTCAATGGTATGTGCCCGTCTTATTTTTTTGTTTTTTTATTTTTATTTTTTTCTCCCCGGAGGTCCCGTAGAGGAACCCTTGAAACCCTTTTGCTCGTTTTTTTCTCTTCGTCGTCTTTCGTCGTCCATCGTGTTTCAATGGGGATCCTTGAGACAGACACTTGACCTGAGCAAGACCACAAACGAGAAAGTACCTTGGCGCAGACCTTCGATTTATAGGAAACATCCTTTACAGGAACTTTCATTTACTGTAACTTTCTTTTACAGGAAACATCCTTTACAGGAACTTTCCTTTTTTTTACAGGAAGCATCCTTTACAGAAACCATCCTTTACGGGAACTTTCAGTTTCAGGACCTCTCCTTTATTGGCAGTTTCCTTTTACAGGAACCATATTTTTGAGGTATCTATTTTTCCAACTATTCCTGGGCAGCAATCATTTTCACCTTAGATCATTTGGTGAGAGTAAGTTTGGAGCACCTTGTGCTTGCAAGAAACGTATGTCCAGATATTTTCAAATATTTTCACATATTTTCAGATATTTTTGACTAATATTCGACTATATGTGATTATATCTTCATTATTATGTCCTAAATTCAAAAAAATAAGTGGAACTTAACGCAAAATAATTTTAAAACAACAAAGCAGGATAATAGCAAATTATCAGATATTTATAAGCTCGTTAAGTGCCTGAAGTGAGAATATCTTCCATTAGGGGTCTTAGTACCATGTACTGTACCACAATACCGTGCACGTACCACACCACCGTGCAAAACATACTTACCACAACCGTACCACGTACCGTACCATGTACCACAATACCGTACCATGTACCGCACCACCGTACCGTAAATACGTACCACAACCGTACCACGTACCGTACCATGTACCACAATACCGTACCATGTACCGCACCACCGTACCGTAAATACGTACCACAACCGTACCACGTACCGTACCATGTACCACAATACCGTACCATGTACCGCACCACCGTACCGTAAATACGTACCACAACCGTACCACGTACCGTACCATGTACCACAATACCGTACCATGTACCACACCACCGTACCGTAAATACGTACCACAACCGTACCACGTACCGTACCATGTACCACAATACCGTACCATGTACCGCACCACCGTACCGTAAATACGTACCCGTACCTGGGTCAGCTTTGGGCCCAACCGTACCGATTCCAGGAAGCCAATAGAGCATTGCTCTTGAAATTAGCCAAGGTTTACCGAACTAAAAAATGGTGGATCTTTCCATTTCTCTATGTTTGATTTTTCCATATATTGGGCAATAATAATCCCAACTGACGAACTCATATTTTTCAGAGGGGTAGGTCAACCACCAACCAGTTTTGGTGATGACTGGGGGATGGTTCATTTATGGCATTGGGAATTAGCCACATGAAACAAGACTTTCCCAATCACATGATACGTTTTTTGCCTGGTTGGTGGTTTCAAACATTTTTTATGTTCCATTTCATAAAAAAGGGATGTCATCCGAAACCCATTGACTAATACTCCATCATTTTTCAAGATTGTTAAAACCACCAAGAACCAGATAGTTAATCATCATTTCCCATCATTAACCATCATTAATCACCATTAACCAAGTAGGTCAACCATCAGATACTGTATGAAGCCTATGTAACAGTATCTGTGGCACCGGTGAAGGTTTAATCGTCTTGGGCCCTGGATCTGACAGGATGGAGCCCCCCGTTCAGAAACGCACGCCGAAGCGAAGTGGCTGAATTTTATAGTTTATGGTACAATGTGAGGCCCCCCAGTGATGTTACTTGGTTAACAAAAGCCCCAGTAACTAGTTCGTTATTTGCGTACCATAAACCATAGTGACATTCGAGTTATTTGCACCAACTTAGATATCGAACGGGGGCCTCACATTGTAGATATGAAATCTAACTATAGTTAGTGGGGGTTTTGTTATGGTTTATAAACCAACAAACATTTCACTGATATAACGAACTAGTTGATGGGGTGTATAAACTAACAAACATTTCACTGGGCCAGCCCCATTGGCCCATCCTGTACGGATCTGTTTTTTTTCTTCTGGCTGTGTTTCTAGTCATTGGTCACGACCCCCAAAAAACCAGTGATGGCAGGAACATACCTGGATGAATTATCATGACCTCACTGTTCTCCCGAACCCTGGAATGATGGTTTAGATATAAGGAATCATCCCCAAATGACCCAACATGATCGCAGCATATAATATACTGTAACGGCAATTGTTATAGCGACATAGGTTGAAGGAATGATTACTGTCATTCAGCCGGATTGAGTCCCATATATGTTGCAAAGATATTCCCATGAAATTCTCCATGTTGTTGATTGTTTCCCATCCATTTTATATATTATATAATTATCCATATTTTCTTCCCTATGGATCCAAACACTGTCTGAGAAGGTACTTAACCCTCCAAATTATAGTAAATTATACCCCAGACCCACTTCCTAAGAAGGTACGACAGGATCCATAGGGCTTAATGTATTCCCCAATCTTCCGCATAATTCAGCCAGATGTCGTGGGATTTCGCTCCGGCCTTCCAGCCTTCCAGCCTCGTGACCCGCGAAAGTCCAGGCGCATCGCAAAGAGCGGAAGCGACGGAGAAATGACATGAAGGACCGCCGGTTATGGGTGAATCCCACTTAGTAAGCGCGAGCTCTACCAACAGTTATACATATGTGTATATATAATATGTGTATATATATATATGTATATATGGTTGGTGGTTTGGAACCATGGAATTTTATGACTTTCCATATATTAGGAATGTCATCATCCCAACTGACGAACTCATATTTTTCAGAGGGGTTCAAACCACCAACCAGATATATATGGAGTATCCCCTATTATACAGTATATGGGATGATATGGCTTATATAATGGGTATGTGTCAAAACCCTGGCACGCAAAAAAACGGTACCCTAAGTTATAGCTGGTGTGGTTGGATGGTGATTTATCCCCCCAGTCATATGGTAAACGCATGGGTTTTGAGCAATCCCCATATCTGGGTAAATTTCATCACGACCTCACTGTTCTCCCGAACCCTGGAATCATGGTTTTTATATTGGAAATCACCCCTTTTATGGCCTTAATTCAGGTTAGTGAAATATGATAATTCACCCAGCCATATGGCAACAAAAGCTCCTGGCATGATGAAGCTGGATGAATTAAAGATCAACTTTATGGGATATAGTGATCAGAAATTATACCCTCTGGTTATGACTAACAGTTCGCCATGGTATAGATGGTCCTAATCGAAATAGATGGTTTACCTATTAATAGCATGGTGGATCTTTCCAGTTCGCTATGTTAAATATCCAGATGGTATATCCAGTTATGTCTCTTGGTTTATAAACCACAACATAACTCAATAACCCCCAACTAGTTCGTTATATCAGTTATGTTTGTTGGTTTATAAACCATAATCTTCCCGTCATCTTCAGCATGAGCAGCGTGACCGAAAATAAAAAAAAAAACTCGCAACGTCATCCCTGGCTGATCCGATCGCTGGTGGAGCAGCGTGTGCCGCGGATTTCCGAAGAAACACGGGAATTGTGAGGATGGTGGTCATCCTCCGTTTTATACACCAATGGCATTATTTATATATACTTTTATACACCAATGGCATTATTTATATACATATATATATATATACATATATATATATGGTTTATTATGGTTTATTATGGTGTATTATTGTTGATTATGGTTTATTATGGTTTATTATGGTTTATTATGGTTTATTATGGTTTATATTGGTTTATATTGGTTTATAACGTTTATATTTTATATTGTTTTTTATGGTTTATATTGATTTATATTGGTTTATTTATCCAAGAATTGGTTTATATAACAGTTTATATATGATTCATTACAGCTAGTGTTTAACCCATGGCTTTTGAACACTGCTCCTGTAAAGAATGGCGAGAATGATGCCATGGTGTTTAGTACTTTGTTAGTCAGATATGGTGATTTGCTAAAATGGGGGTACCCCCAATTCTCATCAATTTTAATAGGATTGTCTTTTGTAAACCATCCAGTTATTGGGATGCCCCCATTTACACTAATCCCAATCGCCATTGAATACCATTTTAATTATACCATTCTTATATACCATTACTGGTTGGTGGTTTGGAACATTTTTTCCATATATTGGGAATGTCATCATCCCAACTGACGAACTCCATCATTTTTCAGAGGGCTAGGTCAACCACCAACCAGTTGAAATAGCATTATATGATGGCTATCCCAAGCACCATTTACCATATGATGATTTGCCATCACGTTTTTTCTTGAAAAATCCGGACGGGTCATCCACCAAGGGCGGCAATCGACCATTGAGTAAGCCCCCAAAAAAGATCGGTGCAGGTAAAACCTTAAAAAAAAAGTGATCCAGTACTTTGGATCTTCTTGGGGGTTACTATCATATAATATATACACATCATATAATATATACATCATATATTACATCATATATATATATTATAACATAATTATATTATATTATATCATATATCATATATACGTGTATATATATATATAGTGATGAAACTTCTCCGGGCGAACTTGGCCCTCGCAGGTCCCACGGTCGGATCTCGAGGAGCTGAAACGCCGGGCGCAGGCGCGGGCTTCGCTGCTTCGGGGGAAGTCGCTTGGATCACCTGCCTGGATCAGACCCTGGGAAAACCATGGGAAAACCATGGGAAAATGGGGATTGAGATGGAAAATCACCAGGTAAACATGGGTGATTCTAGATTTCAATAGGGATTGAGTAGGTAAAGAATGGAAATACCTCTGGAAGAATTAGCCTCTAAACATACAAAAATACCTGGAAAACCGACAGCATGTTTGGGGTAAATCAACTATTTTGACTGGGCCATGTTCAAGAGCAAACTGTAAGAAATGACCAGAGGGTTTTTTCTCATTGGTTGAGGATGATGACCTGTGGATAAAACCATGGTTAAAGCAATGCCGCAAGGTGATGCCGTGGTGCCCCCCCAGTGATGGGAATGTTAGTTTATAACCCCCATGAAGTATAGGTTTATCGGTATATCTACCATAAACCCAAGTTATTGGAGTTATAAAATGTTATAAACCAAGTTAGCTAACAAACTGGGGCACCACCTTGCATAAACCATCCATTTGGGATTGGTTTATGCCACCTATGATATCAATCCAATATCAATTTATGACATTGAACTGAACTAGGAAAAACTATGGAAAACGACTTGAACTAGGAAAGACGATTCATTGGGATGTGATAAATTAGCACATGAAGTCATTTTTGTCCATGAAGTCAGACGGGATTTTGCCCATTGTCATCCCGTGGAACCCTTTGGCGAACAGGGCTAGATAGGGGGCATGGGAGTGCCCTTAGAAAGCCCTTAGAAACACGCCCTGGTGATACCTGGTGGAATGTGAAAAATATCTAGACTGAGACCCTTTTGCTAGTTTTTTTGCCGTGCAGGTCTTGCAAGGACAGGAGGATGTCGAGGACTGTCTTCACTCAAAGTCATGCGCTTCCCGAGACGCTTCAGAAGGATGTTGTTCGTTGGTGAAACGGGGAAACGGTCCTGTGTTTTCGAGCATTAGGCGAGTCAATTTTTTGTTTAAATCAACTGCCTGCATTGTTTCATTTCCAAATTCCAGAATCTGTGGTTTGCAGGGCTTCGTCTTCGGGTTTTCCATGTTGAGCCGATGTGCTTAAAATTGTGATGGCTAGGCTAGGCTGGATTTCCATGGAGCTGTCCTAAAAATGGGTGTACGCCCCAATCATCCAAATTACCCTCTGGTAATTTAACATAACTATTGAAAATGGCCATTTATAGTTGATTTACCCATTAAACATGGTGATTTTCCATAGCTATGTTAGTTTACCAGAGGGTAAAGCATTTTACCGTATTGAAAGCTATGGTGACTTGGGGATCCCCCATTGGTCGCAGGACTTTGTCCTCCATGGTCCTCTCGATATGGAGGAGGGTTAGGCGGGCGAGTTTCGGAGGGGACTGGGTGGTTGGGATTGTCGTCATCAAAGATATCTGGGATAAAGCTGAAGTAACTAATGGAAACTGTGGATTTGATGATTTAAGATGATTCAATCATCTAAACGTGGGATAGAACTGATAGACATCTAAGTGATATATGTTCAGAAGCTCATTTCCATGGGTATTTCACTGATGTTTCATCATGGAAGTTCCGAACTGCTACAGCGTTCCCTGGTGTCATCAGCCAGTCCGCCATGGAGGTAGCCGCGTAGCCATTGTTTGGGTGGATCCGGGTTGACGTTTTCGCCTTTTTTTAGCCCAGAGATGGGAAAAAAAACAGATGGCCATAGCTATTGAAAATGGCCATAGAAATAGTTGATTTTCCCATTAAAAATTGTGAGTTTCCATTGTTAAAAATGGTGGAATTGATTTCCAACATACCCTCTGATTATTACATGTTATGACTAATATAGCCATGGAATAGATGACCCATAGAAATAGATGGTTTACCTGGTTTACCGAACTTAAAAATGGTGGATCTTTCCATTTCACTATGTTAAATAACCAAATAGTAGTCGCATGGTATAGGTGGCAGTGAACTAGGAATCGTTTTTCCTAGTTCAAATCGATTACAAAATACTGTGCGAAATGATGTAGCAGCTGGGATTTCTATTGGGATTCCTATGAAACACTGCAAATTTCATGGGAGTGGCACCAGATGTTTACCATCCAATGTGAAATTTTTGGGGTCTCCAAGTCAGCCCCAAGTCCCTGCAGATTCTGAAGTCCGCCAAGTCGTCAAGTTTCTTCGGGCTGCTGCGATTGGAAGACATGACATGGGAATTTCCGGTCATTAAAAAAAGCGCCCAAGAAGAGCGAAAAGTGGTTTTTCATGGTTATTTGATGGTCATTTGATGGGGGTTTCACATTCTAAAAGAGTGGTAGCCTGGTAGACAGATGGTCAACACAACACTTTCATGTCTGCATCTTGTTGGAGGATACTATGGGTATGGTGAAAAGGTGAACATATATGAAAGACAACGGATTGATGGTCGTTTGTTTGTTAGCTAATACATTGTGTAGCCGCGTTGTGTCAGTTGACTGTTTCAGTTCGTGGCTGGTGCCATTGAACTATGAGTTGGCTGTTGCAGATCCTTGACGCTTCATACTATTGTGATGAATCCCAAACATTGTCAACAGATAGATACTAACATCATCAACAGCTAGATTTATTCGACAGTGAACAGTTCCTTGCACCAGCTTCGTGCTTCGCGACCTGCGCGAATTGCTTCGCGCGTCGGAAAATTGTGCTAAGTGCGCCTGGCTTGAGCATTTTCCCATTGGTGAATCCACCACGAAGAAAAATTTACCAGACTTTTGGCGCAGAAATCTGCAGGAAACCCTTTTGATTGGTGGTACAAAAGGGTTTTCCTGTAGATTTCTGCGCCAATCAACCCATTGATTGGAGCTACTTAGATGGGCCATGGAGTTAGTTAACTAGTTAGTAACTGGGGTTTGTTTCCCCCCAAAAAATCCCATGAAATAAGCCATCAACCCATTGATTGGATCTAGTCCGGTTCAAGACAGCGAGGTCCGGGTTTTCATGGTGCGGACCGTCGGACCTCTCGGATTTCGGTGAATCGGTGAATTGGACCATGGTGCGTTCCGTGCTTTTCGCCCATGTGTTGGTTCTTTCCTCCGCAATGAAGCTACATGATGTTGCTGGATCCATCGACTTGGTACTGTTTTGTTTGGGTTTGTAAATGGGGTCCATAAATGGGGGAGCTCCAAAAAATATGGAGGGTGAAAAAAAATAAATTTAAAAAAAAACGAAAATATAATGGATGAGTTGGGGGTACCCCTAATTTAGGAAACCTCAATATGTTAAAAAAAACAATTCGACCTGTTTAAAATGAATAGAGACTCAGGACTTGCGTCGGATCGCTGCGTTCTTTTCTATTTTGGATCATGGATTGATGAGTTGGGGGATGATCAATCCTTAAGGATTTTGAAAGACCTAAGGCATCCATCACAAAGTGCACATCCCATGAAAAACTTTACCAGTCGGAAGATGTTTGGGGTTGTGGAATAATATTCAACTGGTTGGTGGTTTGGAACATTTTTGATTTTTCCATATATTGGGCAATAATAATCCCAACTGACTTTCATATTTTTCAGAGGGGCGGGTCAACCACCAACCAGCAAAGATGTTTCCAATGACTAGAACCCCAAGCTTTGAGTCAAGTGACTTGCCTTTTAAAGATGCTTGGTCCCAAAAAAATGTAACTTGACCATTCCTTCCATGGCCAGGTTGTAAATCGAACTTTGGAGACCTCCGATTGCCGCCTGGGCACCGAAAAGTTCGTCGACTCCCTTTCGAAGGATTTGGAAAAATCCTTGGGCTACGATGGAATCTGGGCGTTATTCAGATGGGGATGAGTCGAGTTACCATCAATGGGAGATCTTCAGGATCCAATTGATTGGAGGTACCTACCATAGAAAAAAGGCCTATTATAAGGCCTATGCAAGTGAATATCACCACAAAATATGGCCTTATATGGTACAGTACTACTAAGCAAAATGACCCATATGGAGGTTTCCACAAATGGGGGGTACCCCTAATTTATCGCTGGATGGTTTATTTCATGGAAAATCCGAAAAGAAAAAATGGATGAGAACTGGGTGTACCCCCATTTTAGGAGACCTCCATATTATATCACATATGATCACTATGTTTTGGGGCCTAACCGTCCATTAAGCAACTACAACTTTGTGTACCGTTTGGGTACCATGGTTTTGACCCGTAACGATTCGATGGGGATATCACAAGATGTTCATAACTGGGCGCACCACATTGTACCCATCACGAGTTGAGTCTCTTTTTTGCCTGCTTTGCGGAGCACCTTGCACAAAGCTTTACCATGTTTTGATTCTGAAATTACATCTGATTATCACAGTCTATGTGATATTCTCATTGTATCCGAATTTACATTCTTATTCGGTCCCCATCACCCAATGTATGCATTAGATCCCCAAGTATTATATTCCGATGAGATATTGCTCCTTGATGATATTCCTTTTACCCCCCTTATATCATTAGCAAAGTTGGTTATATAAATCTTATGTTAACATCACCAATTGAAATGTGTGTATAACTCAAATTTTCCTAGTATTTCCTAGTCAATCTCCCTAGTTTTCCGGGCGTTCCCATGTTTTCAGCCTCCATTTGTTGAACCAAAAAACCTGCAGGGATGTTCTACAAGGGCTGCTTGGACTTCCTACATTTCAATGCAAAGCCTGAGATCCCAATGATGGCCCAGATTGAGGTGCGGAGATGAAAAAACCATTATGAAAGAAATGGGGCAAACTACAGCACCATAGTTTGCTAAGTCGGTTTATAACTATAATAACTATAAATTGGTTTATAAACCAAATAATGATACTTAGATGGTGCTATAAACCAACTTATAGCTGGGCACCATCCTGTAACATAGATGTGGAAACCCACCAAATTATTAAGGTAAATCATCCATAAATGGGATCAGCCACATCTATCTTATGGTGATCCGCAGATATTGATAGTGGTTCATGAAGTTCATGGATTGTGACAACGGGGAAACGGGTAATAATGATATGATAAGATCAATAAGAATAATAGCTAGGTCAATCTTACATGGATACAAACTAATTCTTTAGTCCTAACTAGTCTTTTGGTATTTATGGGAATATCTACGTTCACCAGCAAAGAATTTATTTTTTGCAGGGTAGGCTCTTAGTTAGTACTGTTTTTTGGTTTGTGGATTCGAAATGGGGAGTTTGAATCCTTGCTGTGGATTGAAGAAACCGTTTCCAGGATATTCTGTGGGATACCATCTGGTTATTGAACATAGCCATGGAAAATCACCATTTATAGTAGGCAAACCATCTATAAATGGGCCATTTTCCATGGCTATTTTAAATAACCAGAGGGTAAATTTGGAACCTATTTTTACCAGCAATATGAGCTAGATTCGGACGGTTAGGACCTTATCGAACAAATAATGCTAAAGCATTGGATGGTTAGGAGCACGCCATTGTTGGACACCCAATGATTAAAGGGAAAAATCTGGAAGATGGGAAAAGAACGTGCGATAAATGGTTGGTACTGCGGAGCCAGATTTTTTCTCGTGCTAAGATTGAGGTCAACTCTGATTTTCTTTCTTGGATCTGTCCTAGAAACAAAGCAGATGTAGGGATATAGTCTCCCAAGAAAATGTCCACCCCTTGGCGTGCCTGTTAAGGGAACATGCTTTATTTGTCGATGTGTTTTACCTTGTAAAAACTGGTGGTTTAACTCTTTCTACAGGTGTAATTGCATGTGTTTGTATGTGTATGCATTAATATATAGATATACATTATATATATATAATCAGTTAGATATAGAAACCAACTCACCATTAACATGTTCTACTCATGTTTTTTAAAGCCATCCAAGTTGGGCGTTCAGGCCTTTGGAGAGCGGTGCAAGAAGGCACTCTTTGTGAAAGACGAATCGGCCATGCATCAGGTTGACCCAAACCAACTGGAGGTGGCGCTGCAGCTAGGAAAACCTCGGGTTTTTGGTTGATCTGTTAACGTTTATACTAGGAGCCTGGGTTTTTTTGCACACTAAACAGGCTTGTTGGTTGGCAAGTAATGGAGACATATGTATATAATTGTACATGTCAATGTATATATATATACATAATATACGCCAGCGATGCCACTTGGGTATGCAACATGCTTTGGTCATTCATTCAGAATTCACGGTCACCCCTAACAGCAGCCATTCACAACATATATGCTCCAGGCGGAGTGCGACCGCGCGGTATATAACATGGACATCCAATTTCGACTCCTGGGGTCAGATGCCTTGAAAACTGCTGAAGAGTCTCTTGGAAGCCGATGGTGGAAATCTGGGGCCCCTTTTCGGGGGCTTCCAAAACCTTGAAAGTACCCGGCCTGGTAATGACATTCACAGTTTGCGACATTGAAAATGGCCATAGAAATAGTGGATTGACCCATTGAAAATGGTGGATCTTTCCATAGTTATGTTCGTTTACCAGAGGGTATCAACTCCATATTTTAAAAAAAAATGTTTCGCAGTTCGAAGTCGTGTTATATGAAGGTCCAAAATGCTGCACCAAGCAGCTCTTTCCCTTGGACTGCGTGGCTCACATAGTCAAAGTTGGGTGCATAAAAAAAGGGCGATCTCCGAGGGTTTGCCATTTTTAGAGCAAACTCTGGCACGTTTCCCTTGGCCTTTTGTAACATCTTGTAACCCATCCCCACCAAAATGTCATTTACAACCCCCATTAACTATAGAGTTATATCTACCATAAACCATAGTTAGGTCACTTAGCTTTGGCAACTGAACGCTATCGAACGAGGGCCCCATACTGCAGGTTTTGTGCGGTCTTTGTGGACATGGTCCTCCCTGTGGACGAAGAACCCGAGTGCATGCGCTTCATCGAAGACATTTCGATGGCACATTCCGAGTTCCTAGGCACTACGCATTCCTGGCCGGCCGTCATCCACAAGCCCCACTTTGAGGAGGCCTTCATGCAGGCGATGTTTGATGATGTTTGGATGTCGGTCGATGTCTATGTTGATACTACACTGGTGCCGGTTTTTATGGCCGTTTTGGTAAGGTGTTCCCTAGATCATCCTAGATCACCTATTGTAGTTAGCATTAACAAGTGCACCGAAAGAAAAATAAACTGCTTGTGCAGCGCGTTGCTGCTACGTTTGTTCCTTTCAGAGAAAAAAACGACGTTCGAAGTAAACTTCGGAAGATGGAAGGGGTGCGATTTTGGAATTTGCGTTCATTCCTGGTCATATCATGTTCAGTGTGTAGCAGCTTTCAATCACACCTTTAAGCAAAGTTGGTTCAGGCATGCCTGGAAAACAAGAAGCTCGAGAGCGAAGAGGATGGGACGCATATCGATTACGGCGACGGGGCAAGAGACTGCCAGATGAAGATGAATCGTCTTCAGGCTATGCCTTTAGAGACTTGGCATTTTTTTGGATCCCATTGGGATTAAAATTCATACATTTGAAAAATCTGAATGGATGCTTAGGTATTCCTCAAGGTGATCTTTGATCTTCCCGGATTTTTTCATAGCCTTGAAATGGGGAATCGGTTTGTTGGGAAATCGCTTAAAAAGTTTCAAGCTTGGACAACTGGATGGGTAGAAACTCATCCTGAATAATCTTTTGCAATAATAAATAGGAATATCTGTATTGAATATCTTCCCTTTCACCAGCTAAGAATTTGTCAAATTTCTTGCGTAGGGTATCTGGCTGAATGGCCATGGGACATGTTGGGACTTTTTTTGGGCGCAAAGATCAGGACAAGCACTACAAACTCCTCTCCAAGTTCTTTGCTGATGTCTGTCCTATGCTCGGCATGGCGCCCCGTCGTTAGAGAGAGCCCCAAGTTGGGGCATGGCGCGGGGAGGGGCAGACATTTTTTGGGCTCTGGATTTTTTGTGTCAAAGACGTGGATCGAGCCCAACCTGACTTCCCAGTTGGTTCACAGAACTATTTTCTGGTTGGTGGTTTGGATTTTTTTTTATTTTTCCATTCAGGTGGGAATTTCATCATCCCAACTGACGAACTCATATTTTTCAGAGGGTTGGGTATACCACCAACCAGTTTTCATAATCCTTTCAGGGTGTTTCAAAATTTCAATGATTAGCCTGAAATCTCTGGAGGCTTTCCAATCATGAACTGGTGGTTTCAAGCATGACTTTTATGTTCCATTTCATATACCCTCTGGTAAACATACAAAAAGCTATTGAAAATGGCCCATTTATAGTTGATTTACCTATTAAAAACGGTGGTTTTCCAGTTCGCTATGTTAGTTTACCAGAGGGTACGGGATGTCATCCGAAACCCATTGACGAACTCCATCATTTTTCAAGATGGTTAAAGCCACCACCAATCAGACATGTTACCCTCTGGTAAATAAACATAGACCCTGAAAATAACCAATTCTTAATGGAAACTAATCTTCCAACCCCTATCTGCCAGGGTCTATGTTAATTTACCAGAGGATAGATATATAAATGTTCTTGGCAATTGGCGTTGATTTTGCTCCTCTTGGGACGGCTCAGCCATCCTCAGCCCGCTCAGGATTTAAAGCTGCCTTGTTCCAACGCGCTGCCAAGATCGCCGCGGAGAACAACATGACCAACCTGACAACAGGAGACTGGATCTGGATGCTGGGAGAAAGTGTGGAGTCAAAAACGCCATAGTTGGCGCAAGCGGAGGGGTTTCCCAGTTTCATCATTATTCCTGGTTGGTGGTTTGGAACATGAATTTTATTTTCCATAATATATGTGGGATGTCATCCTTCCCATTGACTAATATGTTTCAGAGGGGTAGGTATACCACCAACCAGTATTGTTATCCCATCATTATCCCATTATTATCCATATTAAACCATATAAAACCATATTAAAGCCATATATGATGGCTATCCCAAGCACCATTTACCATATGGGTTTCAATCTCGCCGGCACGCAGAGCTCCATGGAGCGGGAGCGGGCTTCATCCAGATTGTGAAAAATCACAGATGTCCAACAACCCCAAATCGATAACAAAGCCTCAGAGTTTTGCAATAGCTGATCATATAGCTGTTTTTGTTTTTTTTATTGGGCTTAAAATAATGAATATATCATGATGCTTTATCTACAATGTGAGGCCCCGAAGATATCTAAGTTGGTTTAGATTCGTCCCAGTAACTATAGTTATGTGCGTACCATAAACCAGTTCGTGACATTGGAGTTATGTGGCCCCCAACTTAGATATCTTTGGGGCCTCACATTGTATATTTGATGATATATTAACCTAAATAGCCTGAACATGTTTTCACTGGCAGGAAAGAAACGGAAGCCAGCTTTCAGCGCTCTGCAAGTGCATCTTCTTGACGAAGCAGTGGCTGGCAAGGGCGGTGGTGACTCGCGGCGACGTCGCAGAAGGCGCCGGCGGATTTTTTGTGGATGAGTTGTGGCCTGGAGAGGTCGTTGCATCTCAAAGAAATACGGAAACACAGAAAATCCCATGACAATCCTATGTTGCAAGAGTGGTAGCCTCTGGTAAACATACAAAAAACTATGGAAAGATCCACCATTTTTCATGGATAAATCCACTAATTTATAAATCACCATGTTCAATAGCCTCTGGCAATTTAACATAGCTATTGAAGCCATGGCCCAGTCGAAATAGTGAGTTTTCCCATCAAAAATGCTGGATCTTTCCATAGTTTTCTGTGTGAAAAAACCAGGCCGGGTAGCTATTTTGACATAACCAGAGGGTATGGTTGAACCTGGGTAACCCACTTCGACGAATTTAAGATTCTCCCTAATGGGACGATGACGTGAAAAATCTGCGTCGGCTCGTGTAAAAAAACCATCTGGTTATGACTAACAGTTCGCCATGGAAAATCCCTACCATAAATAGAGGTTTAGTTCGCTGGGAAAATCATCTATTTCAATGGGATTTTCCATGGCCATGTTAAATAACCAGAGGGTAGGTCCAAAAGAATGAGTTGGTTTCTAGCTTGATGTTGTTTTTCCCTTTGCGAGATACTTTGACTTAATGTCAACATGGTATTAATACCCCCCCAAACATTCAGAGCATCAAAATAAAATTTAGGCCAAACATTGTTCTAGGGTCCCTGGAAATTTTTCAAGACCTATGTGGCGCCAAACAAATTGCCTAATTGAAAACGAATACATAAAGTGGACTTTCTTTCCACTTTCTATGGTGTCTTCGGCGCTTTCGCCATCTACTGGGTGCAGTACCCATCAAAAAAACAAACAATTTTCGAACTGCTATCATGCGGCCCAGTTGGTTACATGATTGACCTAAAGAGAAGGATTTTCAAGAGGTCAATCATGTAACCAACTGTTACCAATAGCAAACTGTCACAAATTTCCTGGTTGGTGGTTTGGAACATCTTTGTTTTCCATTCAGTTGGGAATAAAAATCCCAACTGACTCATATTTTTTAGGGGGGTAGGTATACCACCAGCCGTATGACGGGCTGCCCCTCGTTTCTCCAGGCGAAGGCGATTGAATCACAAGCAATCCACATGCTGCGACCAGGCTGCGAGGACGTATGAGTTTCTTGGAAAATCGGGGATTCTACTGATTATACTAGCTGGGATTATGGTTCTGATTAATAGTGATTAAGAGTGATGGATAGTGATTAATAGTGATGATAATCCATGAATAGTGATTTATCACCCATTTTTGGGTGGTAAATAGTGTTTATTAGTTGCTTAACAGTGGTTGTTAGTTGGTTAATAGTGGTTAATAACGTGGTTGAAACAATGTCATAAACCACCCATGACTGGGAATTGTAAACATACCACCTATAAAAATGGTGATGACTGGGGGATAGTTTGTTATTGTTTTACCCACATTACTCGGAAAATAATATACTGGAGATTATAATATGCTAGGATTATATACGTATTATACTGGGGATTATTTTTAATACTAATATACTGGGGATTATTAGTATGATACTACCCTTCATGCTGGGGATTGAAATACTCCAATAGGGGAATCCTGTTCTTAACCAGTATTTCATGGAATGATAGAGGGATTTTGAACACTGCTCAATTGAATCTTTGTTGATTCATGAATGTGAAGTAGTCCTTGCTGTTCTAGTTATGTATTGCTGATCAAGCGGACGTGTGGATGTCGATTCTTTTCTTAGCTATGGTACCCTCTGGTAAACTAACGTAACTGTGGAAAATCACAATTTTTAATGGGTAAATCCACTATTTCTATGGCCATGTTCAATAAGCTTTTTGTATGTTTACCAGGGGGTAATGTATGGTTGTATTCCTAGTTGTTGTTCTTTGTTCTTCATAAAACTATAGGTGATTTGTGGAGATGCCGTGCCAGGTTAGATGTTCCATGTTCCCATTTTTATGGGGGAGCGAGTTGGAGCTACGAAAACTGAGTTCCCAAGCACTTTCTTGGGTTCGGAACCTTCAATTTGGGGAGTCCCACTACGGCATTCAATTCATCTGGATGAATTACAGTGAGATCACGTCATGACACATGGTTGGAATGATGATTAGTAAGGAGAATCATCCCCAAATGGCCGTATGATAACCGTTATTTTCAGGTTAGATGAATTGTTATAACTAAGCCAGACTTGATCCAACACACAGATTCTTAATGTCAAAAAAGCATTTCAGAAAGCAAGGAGGCCTTATTCTGCACTTTGGCATCGTATTTATATAGGAGCCATGCCCTTCCGGTTGTGGCAGATGAGTGAACTGGATCATCTTTCAACAGCCTTAGGCTATTCAATTTCAGTCCAACCAAAGGTCTCACCCTGTTTCGACCCTGCGCCGCGCCGTCATGTTGAGGGTTGGCCTTACAGCGTCTGCCGGTGTAGCAGTTGGATACACGCAAATTGGAGCGGAGGGCTATCAAAGGTGGAGAGGCGGGGGATTTTTCGGCAGCCAGTCGGTGGATTTTTGGGTTTCGCTGCCATGAGGGACTCCAAGTTTTCATCTGCTCCGGGGAGATAATGGATGGCACTAATTTTTGAAATGCGCCATCTATAGACCACTTGAGCGATGTGATGTTTTCGCAGGCCACTGGGGTCCCTCATGAGGGGTATTGAAAACTTGGGGTCCCTAAAGAAAGACATTTATTTGTTGCGGCTGATAGGACATGCATCCATGGCGTCGAAATGTCTCGAGATGTTTTTGTTTCTACTTAGATGGGCAATGGAGTTACTTAACTAGTTAGCAACTGGAGTTATAACCCCCTATATCCCAATTAAAAGCCATTTACTAACTAGTTAACTAACTCCATGGCCCATCTAAGTATCTTTTTCTTCAGCAGACGTGTGAGGTTCAGGAGGGTTGCACTTGTTGCCACGGTCCCGGACAGTCCCATGACGTTGGCAGGCAATGACTGTGAGTACAAGTGGGGCGTAATGGGTGAAGCCTGCGTCGGCGTTTCGATGGGCGTTGGGGTGGATGTGACGGTGAGCGTTGGATTCTTCAACAGCTATGATGACATCAAAGGAAGAGCCTATTTCCTGGGTGGGGGTGTCTGCTTCTTCGGCTGCGCAGGTGGGGAAGATGTTTTTCATGATGTAGGTCATGTTCTTTGGATTTCGGTGTTTTTTTGTGGCTTTGCTGAAGACCGGGGTCTCAGGTGGCACGACGATTGGGACACAACTTGTTGGTGGAAAAGAGATTGGCAAGACCATTGATACTGGAGGTGGTATGGGAATTGACGCGGGGGGCGGTTATTGCGAAGCTTGGCAAATGTCAGAGCATCGTGAGTGGATCAGGCGCGTGAAGCTCGGCTGATTAGTACCTGCTGAATCGTTGGTGGTCAGTGTATGGGATACCCTCTGGTAAACATACCAAAAACTATGGAAAATCACCATTTTCAATGGGTAAATCCACTATTTCTACGGTCATTTTCAATAGCGATGTAACAAATTACCAGAGCGTAACCGATTTTTTGGGCGAAGTGGAAGAGCAGAGTTTGCCAGCAATGTGTCCAGGATCTCGATCCCCTTCAGTTGAGGAAAAAGAAATGCCCCAGTGGCGGCGGCTGCTTCCCGGGCCACGCAGTGGTGCGCACACCTGGCGGCCTGAAACCCATCAGCCAACTCCAAGTCGGCGACCAAGTCTTGTCAGTTGACGCTGCAGGCGCTCCAACTCGGCCGACTTGTTTGCCAGGGTCAGAAAATGGTTAGGAAAAACATGGAAAAACCAAGATTTTTGTAGGAATACCTTAAACATATCATTGCTCGACGCATCCATTTTCTCATGTGCTTTTTGGGGGCGCGGGAGGTTGCAGGTTTAGCGGCTTTTGACTTACCCCTCCTTTGGGGTAGAGGGGTCTTTGCGTGTATTTCTTTACGAATACACCATCGGACATTGACATACATGATCTCATACATGACTTAGTACGCAGAGATGTAGGCAGAGAAAGAGCCTAGACTGACGGACGACAGACAGATAGATTGTTAAGCATGGCTCCTCGCTTCTCGAGGCAAGCTGATCTATGATGACATCTACTTCTTCGGGCATGCAGAGAGATCTGCATGGGCGCCCTTTGTGAACTTGAAGCTTCAAGCACCTGAGGGTCTGTTGCAGTGGAACTTGGAGTTGACGCCTGATCATTTCATCCAGATGTGCCAAGCCAATTGCAGCTGGGAAGAAAGCCGGACCGTCCCCGCAGAGCAAGTACTTCCAGGGCATCATGTCTGGGTGGTCACTGACAGCGGTCGGCTGGAAATTGCTTTGGTGATCTCGACCCAATTGGTGCCTGGGAGTGGCTTGTACAACCCCTATACTCTGACTGGAAACATTGTGGTCAATGGGGTTGTGGCCAGTAGCCATAGCAGTTGGCTCTTGGATGCCTGGATGCCTCTGGAATTTCAACATCATCTCCCTGCGATCTATCAGCAGACCTTCATCCTGGGCAGGTGCTTGTACCACCTCTTCGGCCCAGCGGCTGCTGATGCCATCGGAGTCAACAACAACGGCGAGCTTCCCAAGGAGGCCACGAGCTCGGCCCATCTGCTGGCGGCTGTGACCATCCTGGCTGCGGCCAGCCAGGTGCTGCTGAGCATTGCAGCGGTCACCGCCTTGAGCAAGTGGTCATGGCAAAGGGTGCCGAAAATGCTCTGAGAAAATGAGTTACCACTTTATGATCTCTATGAAATCTCGCCCTAGTACGAAATCCCCCCTAATATCCACCTAAAAAAACCATAGATCCAATATGATCACCAATACCAGGGTTCTACGGTGGATATTTGCTGTTGTGGGAGAAGTATATAATTGGTTCCCTGGGGCGCCAAAAATTGGTCATCCCACGCACGGAATGTGCACAAAGTGCGGCTTGAGGCCCGCCTCTGAAGGCCAGAGACCTCTCAAAACCTGGCTTGTCCGGGCAGGAGACTGGTGGCTTGAAGAGTTTCGTCCGGCATCAAAAGGGTCGCGGACGCAACGTGGCTGACCCAGCAAGGTTCTAAATGAAACACACCAGATTTTACGATTTGGGGATTGTTTGATCTGATGCTACCTGGAGCAGTCAAAGAATGTGTGTATCAGAAAGTGTATCAGATTGCTATGTCTACTTGAAAATTAAAATTCAAGTTGACATGTTGGTTTGCAGGGCACCTATCTTTATAACGTTTGGTGTGCCTGGTACGGGCATTTTCCGCTCTATGGCCCACATGTTTTCGGATGTCTTCAGGTCGGTGGGGTTCACCTTGGAGAATTGGGGGAACCCACTGGGCCGGTTGCGCCACCATTTCAATTGTCAGGCCAGGGCGCGCCAACGGTACTTAGATGGGCCATGGAGTTAGTTAACTAGTTAGTAAATGGCTTGCAATTGGGATATAACCCCAGTTTCTAAATAGTTAACTAACTCCATGGCCCATCTAAGTAGTCAGATGAACAGAATGGCACGACGTGTTAGCCACGAAAGATATGAGTATCGGCAGTGGGATGATTGCGACTGAGGGCTCTTGCTAGGGGTTGGCCACCGCTGCCCAGGTCCCAAAAACCCCAGCGCAGCAACCTGGAAACCGTTCTGTGTTCAGTTTCGGGGGATTCACAAAAAAAATATGGGGACAAGATCGATATTCATTGAATTTCATTGGAAAGACCCATTTTCAGTGGAGATAGGGTCGGTGGGTGGCTTTGTAGCTCTAATGTTTTTCAATCGATCCTGCAACCAGCAAGGGCCGGGAGGGTCCGTTTGCTGCCAGATGGATGGTGTGTTTCTGGCCGTAGCCATCTGGGTGACAGCAACTGTACCTCTCCGGTTGTCCAAGCACAGCACCATGATGCGTCAGGAGTCTCAGAGATGAAGAAACACAGCGCTTAGTCGCAGTGCTTGGTGGCATCCGCCGTGTCTTGAAAAACATGGCCGGACATGGCCTAGGGCCTAGTCTCTTTCCTCAGCCTACCTGGCCTACCTTTTTTTGGACCATTTGTGGGCCACCTTTTCAAGCTCTTTTCCCAGGGCGAGGCCAACCAAGCGATTGAAGATACCAAGGGCAACCCCGAAGATGTGCCAACCTATCTGCTACGAGGTACGGTAGATCTTCAAAGATCTTCAAGGCCAAAATAGGTTTGTCTGATAGGCCACTCCTAAATCCAGCGGTGGAGAACCTAATTTTCCTTACTATAGATAGCCATCATTGGGGGTATAAATGATTTTCAGACAAACCCAAGTGGAGATGTCCTGACATGGGGATTATCCCAAAAAATCATCTATTTGATTTTCGGAGTTTCTATTATAAACAATCTATTTGGGGGGATCCCTCATCTAAAAGAAAAAAACACAAGCAATGTGGATAAAACAATGCCATAAACCATCCCCAGCTTCACCATTTCTATAGGTGGTATGTTTACCAGTCCCACTCATGGTAGTTTATGACATTGGTTTTAGCCACATTAAAGTGGAAAACCTGGATTGTGACTTCCTTTTTATAAGCCATGTATAAGCCATTTATAAGCCATCAATTTTGGGGAATCCCCATCTTAAAGCACAAGTATTCCCAATCCAAACAGAGAAATGGGTATGGATCAATACCTATTAATACCATTTTTAGGGGAATGAACATCCATAAATCCCAGCTATTTTGATGTGAACTACAGGGGTACACGGTTTTGACACACTGCCAAATGGTGGTCAACTCACTTGGTGCTCTGAGGTGGAACTGCTCCCAAAGCCAAGGCGAAGGCTTCTCCTAAGGCATCACCCAAGGCGGCAGCGCGAGGCGAGACTTGGAGAACATGAGTACAAAGTGGGGCCCCCAAACGATAAGCTAAGTTGGTTTATAACTCCAATAACTATGGTTATTTGCGTACCATAAACCATAGTGACATTGGAGTTATGTTCACCAACTTAGCTATCTAGGGGGCCCCACCTTGTAGGTTTCCTAAAATTGTGGTAACCGCAAATCATCCATGTTTAAAGGATGTTCATGGATTTTCCATGAAATAAACCATCCATTTTGGGGATCCCTATTTTAGGAAACCCTCATGTTGTCATTTTTTTTGCTGGAAATAACAAAAAACTATTCAGCAGATGTTTTTTTTCCAAATTCGTTCCTTCATGGGTGTTCAATGGTTTTCATGGTTAATGTCCAGTTGGGCATTCACATTGGAAAGTGGGTGATTGGAACGTTGGACCCCGTGAATTCCAGTTTCCATCTTGAGTTTTGATCGATCTTGGTGGTTTCCAGCCTCGGTTTATTGTCGCTTTCTTGGAGTGATCCCCACCAACTGACATTCTGCTTAACATGCTGACATATGTTTCTTAAACTAACAAGCAAACAAATAAATAGATAATAATTACTATATTGTATATTTAGTCATTTAGGGTTCCAAGCCACATGAAACAAAACACCGCAGTTTATTTTCATGAAATATTTTCGTAAGTTAGCATTGGGCTCCCCCGTCTTTCTCATCTAACCGCCCACATTATTATACAAGCAAATTCTATGGGGTTAATACCAAAGACAGGGGAGCAACACCTTATAGAAAACAATAACATAAATCATAACAACAAAACAACAAAACAAAATATCTCAAACAACCTAAACAATACAATAGATTATAAAAAAAAAGACTATACCATAAATCATAACAATTACTTTACTTCGTGTGATCCCCACCATGACATTTATACATGTTCTTACTGGCAAATCTTCTGGCATTCTATCTGACATATCTTCTGACATTCTATTTGACATTCTATCTGGCATATCTTCTGGCATATGATCTGGCATATCTTCTGGCATATCTTCTGGCATTCTATCTGGCAAATCTTCTGGCATTCTATCTGGCATATCTTCTGGCACTCTATCTGACATATCTTCTGGCATTCTATCTGGCATATCTTCTGGCATATATTCTGGCATATCTTCTGGCATTCTATCTGACATATCTTCTGGCATATATTCTGACATATCTTCTGGCATTCTATCTGACATATCTTCTGGCATATATTCTGACATATCTTCTGGCATATCTTCTGGCATATCTTCTGGCATATCTTCTGACATATCTATCTGGCATATCTTCTGACATATCTATCTGGCATATCTTCTGGCATATTTTCTGGCATTCTATCTGGCAAATCTTCTGGCATTCTATCTGGCATATCTTGTGGCATATTATCTGGCATTCTATCTGGCATATCTTCTGGCATATCTTCTGGCATATCTTCTGACATTCTTTCTGACATTCTTTCTAACTTTCTTCTGCACATTCTTTGTCCCGTATCTTCCTACATGAGGTCCGGCAGGGAACACTTGGCGTGGATACTCGCGGTTGAGGTCCGGCAGGGAACACTGGGCGTGGATGGTCGTGGTGGAGGTCCGGCAGGGAACACTGGGCGAGGATGGTCGTGGTTGAGGTCCGGCAGGGAACATTGGGCGTGGATGGTCGTGGTTGAGGTCCGGCAGGGAACACTGGGCGGGGATGGTCGTGGTTGAGGTCCGGCAGAGAACACTGTGGATCGCGGGTCGCAGTTGAGCAAGGACGACGAGGACGACGAGGACGACGAGGACGACGAGGAGGACGAGGAGGACGAGGAGGAGGAGGAGAGGAGGACGAGGCAGGAGGAGGCGGAGGAGGAGGAGGAGAAGGAGGAGGAGAAGGAGGAGAAGGAGGAGGAGGAGGAGGCAACTGACATAAAATCTAACAACCCTCACCTGGCAGGTGGGGAAAAAACCATGTCACTTTTATAATTTTGAAATTATAAATTGAAATTTATGTTTGCTGTTTCTTCAAACTCTCCTGATGCTTTATTGTTTGTGTGTGTCTCTTGAACTTTATACGTTGTATCGGATAACCATTGCATACAGGACAGGTCATCCATTTTGTTTTTTCAAAATATTCTCTATCATCTTTACCAATATTTGTAAGGTGGTCTCTTGATTGAATATGTTTTGACCAACTGCCCTTTTGAATTTCAACTTCACAAGCATCACAATGGACTTTTGTTTGTTTCAGTTCCTTTGTTTTTTCAACATTTTCTCTTGCCCAGTCTCTCCTTTTTCCAGGATTATTTTTTGAATATAACTTACAATAATCATCTAAGCAACTGCTACACTGCTTGTATTCTCCAAACTCTCCCACAGGCTTTACCTTTCTACATTTTGAACACTTTTTTGTATCCTCCATAATTCACCTATTATATTAAGACACTTTCCCTTTAAATCCTTTTTCCCTACAAAACCAATAACAAACAATAGCAAAATCAAAACAACCTACTATCAATACAATCAATAACATAAATCATAACAAACACAAAACAAAGAAAAAACAAAGCAACATAAGCAATACAATAGATTATAAAATAGACTATACCATAAATCATAACAACACCACCTTACCCACCTCTGTGGATGTTCCAATGGATGGAGATGAGGGCTTGTAGATGAGGATTTAGTAAGTAGGAAATCAAAATCCTACCCGGTAGGAAATCAAAATCCTGCTTCAAGACCCCCCTTTTTCAAGTAGGAAATCAAATTCCTACCCGGTAGGAAATCAAAATCCTACTTCAAAAAGAAAAGTAGGAAATCAAAATCCTACTAACAAAAAACATTAATCATAATATATTGTAATTTTATATTATGATAATGTATCCTATCAATTTTCACCATAAA